TTATCATACCTCTCTCTCTAAAAGGACCATGATAGTATAGATCTTTGTTAACTGGGGTCATCTGAGTCTTTCCCCACCAGCTACGGATGGATTAGCTATGTCCTCCGGTGGGTGGGTGGGTGGGTCTCTGGCTCCTCTACTACTCTAACAACAAGCAGCTAGACACCCCCTCCACGCCCCCAGCAGCAGCAAACGAAGGGCCTGGGGATGTGTTGCTATAAAGACTGCAGGGAGGGACGCCTCTGGAGGAGTTCTACTCTGTAATACCCGGGGTTGCTGCTTGTGGACTCAGTGACCATAGGTTTGGTTTCTTATTTTTGGTGGAGCCTAAGGCAATGCCAAAGGAATCAAGAGCTCTCCAGGACTTGTCACTTACTCATCAGTTCTGGAGATAGGCCACCAGGCTTCTAAGGATATGCAAAAATGTTCTGAGATTGAGATAAGGTGATTGGGAAGCTCAGTTGTCAGTATCTGTAAAGTTAGGTTGTTCTTGTGCCAGCTCCTCAGTAGCAGAGGGTTTAAATAGAACCAAATCCAGCCCTCTTTAACCAAGTCGACTTTACCCTGTGGCAACCCGTGTGTGTGCCAGACCAGGAGAACTGTGCTCAAAGGGTTTCCAGTGGCTGCCTCGGAAGTCCATTGCATCTCTGGTGGACGCAAACCTCCAACCTTTCCATTAGGAGTCAAGCGTTTGACTGATGGCACCACCCGGGGACCACAAGGGATTCAGGCACTCCTAAGTCTTGGTAAAATCTCTTGGTTTGAACTCTCTCCTTCATTAAGGCCAAGAAGATGGAAGGAGAGAAGTGAAGGTTATTTCTCCCCCCTCCCTTCCCCTCCCCCCACCGCCCCTGAGTTACCAGCAAGCTTTGGGCAAACCCGAGTACAAAGGCTATCTTTCCTGGCAAAGCATTTGTTTTCCCAGCCCTGGCCGGGGAAATCAGGAGTCCTCGTGACATAGTGGGGAAAGCACAGGGCTGCTAAGTTCAATGTCACCAGTTCAAACCCATCATTCACTCTTTGGGAGAAAGATGGGACTGTCTACTCCTGTCAAGATTCATAGCCTTGGGAGCCCAAAGGGTTAGTTCCACTCAGTTCTATGGAGCTTGGTTTAGATTTCCTGGGAAATAAAGCTGCTCCCTGAATTAGCATTCTGAGAACAGAAGACCAGGACTCAGAGCTCTAGGGAGGAGCTGGTTATACACGTCACTCTCCAGGGCACAACGGCTGCAGGCCAGGCAGTAGGCTAGACTAGGACTGAAAGCCTGAAAGTTAAGTATAAAATGGGCATCATAGTACTCGTTAATCTATGTCTCAAGGTTGTATGAGAAACAGTGAGATACGCAGGGGAGTTAATTCTGCAAGGCAAAATAATGCACGCATGTCCTGCTAGTTGAAACCTAGGATACCAGGCTGGACTACAGCTTCACAGAGGCACAGATGCCAAGTGCTTGACTACTACTCAAAGACTGGCAGTTAGCACCCCCCAGAAGCAGTCTGCAAGACAGGTCTCTGCTTTTGAAAGGGCCCAGTCTCGAAAACCCTAGGGTGCAGTTCTACCCTGCCTTCACAGGGTCGACGTGCATCAGACTGAGTCTGCGGCAATTACAAACATCATTTACAGAGCTGTGGTATTTGTACCTGCACGGGAGGATGTTAAAGACCATTGGGCATCATCGTTCCCCTGATGATTAGGGAGCTGACAACTGAGCATCATAAGCTCCACTCGTGCGAGAAAGAGTTTTCATCTTTTGTACAGACTTAAAGACCCTGGCAACGTATCTCTGGAACTAAGCAGTGAGTGTTTTTAGATACCATTGAGTGGATTCACAATCCATAGCGACCCTCGAGACATGGTAGAACTGTTTGTGGTGACGTGAAATTGCTTAAATATGGCTCTTCATGCCATGTCTCTGTACCTCCCACCAGATGGTTGGGTGGGACCATACAGACAGGGTGTGTGCAATCCATCCTGAGTATAAGAGAGCAAAACAATCCTGTGACCACCACGAAAGAAAGGCCTCCAGCAGCGCACATTCGAGATCCTGCCTGAAGTGGGAGAGGCGGCAAAACCACGACACAGAGCAGAGGTGCAGGACCAAGATCTTGAGACAGAACAAGGGGCCTCCTGGCTCATTGTCCTAATTACACAATCTGTTGTCAATTTGAGACTTAAGAGTGAAGGGGTGGAGGTTAGCCTGTCAATCAGGTCGCAGCTTGATGACCTCATTTGGAGGTACTAAGGAGCTGAATAGCTCGGAAGAGGCTGGACACTCCCTCCCTCCCTGTGAGACATTACTGACGATGAGCCTGATGGAGCTACGCTGATGCAGACAGAGCTCTGGAGCCAGAGGAGTCACGTGGAGACCCCTGGCAGCGCTGAGATGTTTCCACCGCCACTGGATCCACTAGACTTTCTGTTCACTGGCCTGTGATCTTCCTGCATTTGGTGCCATTACATGTGTTGCATGAGACTATAGAATTTATAGATTGGGGGAAAAAAAAGAATTTATAGATTGGGATCGGACATATGGGCTAATCTCGGCACCTAACAGCAACAGCAACAGTCCACTGACAATGTTGTGAAACCATTGCAACCCCATTCCACCCTCCTCCAACCTTTGGATAATCCCAATGTGCTTTCTGCTCCTATGGAGATTTGCCTATTTCCCCATAAACAGAGTCGTTCAACATGCAGCCTCATAGATCTAGCAAAAGCAAAAACAAAAAGCCACCCAAACACAGTTGCTGCGGAGCTGATGCTGACTCTTGGAAACAATGGGGGTCCGCGTGGAGCTGTGCTTCATAACACGCTCAGTGGCTGACGTTGCAGAAGTCGCTCTCCACGCCTTTCTTTCATCGCACCTCTGGGTGCCAACCTTTTTGGTTAGTGGCTGAGCAGGTCAGCCATTAAGAATGAACCATGAAGCGTGAACAGAGGCTCTTGAGAGTCTAGAGAAGGGGGTGATGAGTGCTTCATGGGGGTGGGGGTATAAAGGAAAGTTTCCCCCAAAGAGTGCTATTGGACGAGGGCCTTGGCAGAGATGTGGGAGTTTTGTTTGATTAGTGGACAGTGGGGATGGGATGGCACTCCTGTGTGGAGAAAGAGTAAACAATCCCTGGAGAAGTGAGTCCTTGGAATGCCTCAGGGACAGCAAGGGTTCTCGTGTGCGTGGAGTGCCAGACTCAGGGCCCGGTGCCAGGAAGCGAGGCAGCCTGGGAGGGGTCTCTGTTGGCAAGTTAGGACATGTGGACATCATCCTGTCGGTGAAGGGTAATGATAAGTCTTTTGGAAGGAGGGTGGCAAGACCATACTTATCAACTTCATAATCCTATTGCACATGAAAATGAGTTCAGCGAAGAAAATTGATCCTTTGTGAGCCCATATTGACTCTATTAATGGAGCATAATTCATCTGCTTAACTAGCCCTTCAATCATTTTGCATGTGTTTGCTTGACCTTAACGCTGAACTTTTGGCCACTTGTCTGTCTTTTCCGGAGGTGTCTGTGTTGGCCTCTTTGTTGACCGATAGCTTGTTGCGGCCTTTGCTATTGGAAGTGGACCCTGACTCTGGCTTGACTCCCTGATTCTGAGCCCCGCTCCTGGGTCGTCTTCCACTGCGCTGTTCATCTGATTTCAGTTCTTCCAGGTTTCCTGTTCTGCTCAGGAGCTTGCCTGGCCCCTTCGTTTGTGCTACTATGTGTGGTGCAATGGATGACTTTTATATGGCTTTTCTTAGCATGGCCTTGTAGCTCCCACTGAATGACTGGGTGGGTATGTTTGACCCGCATCTCATAGAGACAAACCTTAGGTTGACGTGGATGGGGGTCCCTTTCTCCCTCATCATGTTAGAGGAGGCCCTCTGCCGTCTTGCCATCGTAACCATCTTTGCCTCGGCTCCTCTAGGTGAACCCTCTTAATGGCAAGTTGTCCCTGCTTGCTGATTTCAGTTCCTACTCGGGTAGTAAAATGTAATTTTTCCCTGTAGAAGCGATAGTGTAGCTGAGGAGATAATCTTAAAAAAGACCAACCAAACCAACCAACACAATAATTCAATGGACAGTGTAAGATATGAAATGCAAATAATATATAATTAAGCAAGGATTCATGAGGGTGGGGAAAGGAGGGGGAAAAAGAGGAGCTTATACCAAGGGCTCAAGAAGAAAGTGTTTTGGAAATGATGATGGCAATGTATGTATAAATATGCTTGACACAATGGATGTACGGAATGTTATAAGAGCTGTAAGAGCCCCCAATAAAATGAGTTTTAAAAGAACGAAAGAAAGGAGAAGAAACTAAGTTATAATTCATCAATAGATTGGAAATATTACTTTGCTTTAAAATATGGTTTTTGCTCCATCATTCTGAGGATGTACGTAGACATTAACTGAAAGATAGAATTAGCAAAATTCAATTTTAATAGTGTAACCCTTTCAGTAATAATCTAATCTGCTTCCTGTGCTAGTTAGCACTCTATATAGAACTTCTAACAGTTTACTCTAAATTGCTTAGAAAAAAAAGTAATTCCCCAAGAACTTGAAACATGTGCCATTTTCAGAGGGTGCTAAAATCACTCGACTCAACTATAGAAAATTTGCTTCAGTCAAAATAAAGGTAACCAAATAATAAATACTCACCAACCTCCATCATTAAAAAGAAAAGAATTTATCTTTTCCCAAAGCAGTGTGACAGTAGCTGGTTTTAACTTTCACTTCTGGCCTAACTTGAAGACAAAACAAGCAAGCAATTGCCCAAATGAAATAATAGCAACTACTTAGTTGTTAGACCTGTATTTCCTCTTGCTAAAAAAAAAAATTAGAACTATTAGAACTGCTTGCTGTTGAGTCAGTTGTGATTCAGGACAACCCCGTGTGTTTCAGAGTAAAATGTGCTCCACGGGGCTTTCAGGCTTTAGCTTTTTGAAACAAGCCACAGGGGCCATCTTCCTAGGTCCCTCCAGGTGAACGAAGCCTCCCGCCTCCCAGTTAGGGCTGAGCATTCATTTACCGCCGGTGTCACGCTGGCCGCTGTGCTTTAGCTTGCTTTCCTCAGGGACAGTTGGATAGGCTACATGTGACCCCCTCTTTGGTCTTACCTTAGTCATTTCCGCCTGTTTCTGGGCCCCAGAGAGGACAGCACTAACAGAATGCGCAGCCTGAGGAACCTGGCCATTGGGCTGGGCAGGACTGGGTTTACGTCCTAAAAAGGAAGAGCAGAGAAAAAGAAAAAGAGATTGGGAAAGGCATTGTCAACGTTCTTGAAAGTTGCTCTGAAAACAAAAGAAGCAGTATACATCTCTCTAAAGAAAACAGATGTATAAGTATGGTATAGTACATTAAAGAGTCTCAGGTTCTGCGGTCAAAAAGCTCTGTAGGATCCAACAAAGATCAAGGAATGAATACTTTATAAAGGCTACCAAGTTGAATTTGGATTAACCGAAGGCCCAGAGAATAGCAATGTTGCGCTATTTAAAACTTCCGGTAATTAGAGAAAAGGCCTTGAAAAAAATCTTTCTTTTTGCTCTTTTTCAGTTCTGTTTTGTTTTCTGAAATGTATTTCTCTAGTTTCAGAACAAATAGCCCAGCTGAAAGATATAGACGCAGAATTGAATCAGTGGAAGATGAGGGGACAAATCCTTTGACACCAATTTGTTTGAGGAAAAACCAGAAGAAAGAAAGAAACCTAAAAATGATGTGAAACACTCTAAAGAGGAAACTTTCACATGTGATTATAATTCCCAAACAGGAGGAGGTGAAAACAAAACAGAACCCCAAACGTCACAGACAGAACCATTAAAGACTTGCTGGCAGAAAACTTCCGTAACACGAAAGACTAAAAGAACGTCACTGAGTTTTGTACAGATCCATCCAAAGAAGCCACCAAAACACCCAACACGAAGCGTTTCCAAAATCAAAGACCCAGAGAGAGTCCTGAAAGTAGCTCGGGAAAATGAGAGAAAAAAAAATCACAATGACTAGACCAACGGTTCTCAACCTGTGGGTTACGACCCCTTTGGGGGTCAAACGACCCTTTCAAAGGGGTCGCCTGATTCCTAACAGTAGCAAAATGATAGTTATGAAGTAGCAAAGAAAATAATTTTATGATTGAGTGTCACCACAACACGAGGAACTGTATTAAAGGGTCGCAGCATTAGGAAAGTTGAGAACTGCTGGACTAGACTGATAACTCAGCAGAAACCATGTAGGAAAGAAGGAAATGGGATAATATCTATAAAACCTTCAAAGAAAAAAGTTAACCAAGAATTATATATCTAGCAAAATTGTCTTTGAAATATGATGGTAAAATGAGGACATTTTCAGATGAACAGAAACCAAGGGCATATGTAAAAACCAGACCAATCTTTCCTGGAAGCCCTGGTGGTGCAGAGGTTCTGCATTGAGCTGCAATCTGCAAGGCCAGCAGTTCCCAATCACCAGCCACTCTGCCGGACAAAGAAAGGGCCTTCGACCCTCACAGAGACTTAGAGTGTCAGAAACTCACAGGGGCAGTTCTACCGTGCTACACAGGGTCTCTATGAGTCAGCACTGGCAGTGCGTTTTTATGGTTTGAGATAGACTATACAAGAAATAGTTAAGTATGATTAAAAAAAGATGAAGAAAAGAAAAAAAAAGAAATAAGTCAATCCTTTGGACAGAGAACCCAAAACATCAAGCAATAAGCTGATATTGAGACACAGGGCAGCATCAGCTATATATTCACCCAGACAAAGACTTCTAAAAAATAAAGCACAGCTAAATGTCTGAAAACCGAACTAGATAAATACATTTTTAAATGATGACAACATTACTACTAGGAGTGAGAACAATTCCTTTTTAAATAGAATTTTCATATGGAGAGGAAGCCGAGCCAATATTGCTTTAAACTTATGATAAAATAAATTTTAAGGTAACCACAAAGAAAGTCAACAAGCCTACTTATTAAAGAAAAGAGACGTGAAAACTAAGTAATCCAAACCAACAATGGTAGAAGCTAAAAGGAAACCCACAAAGAAAATTAATCCAGCATAGAAATGAAAGAAACTGTCAATGTCATGAACATAGAAAAAAGAAGAAGAAAGCAAAAAGACAGAAAAGCACAACCAAATGATCACCTGCTGATAATCACACTGATATTAAGGGTTGAAATACCCAGCATAATCACACTGATATTAATGGTTTAAATACCCAGCAACGAGACAGACAGTGGCAGAATGTAAATAAATAAATAAAAATTGACTCAGCGATATGTTGTCTACCAGAGATATACTCTTAGAACCAAGAGTAAATAATTAAAACTCAAAAGATAAAAATAAACAAGCAAACAATAAGAAAAAAGTGAGGAGGAGTGGCAAAACTATTCTTTGATAAAATAAACTTTAAGGCAAATTCCATCATAAAAGATAACGAAGGACCTTATATACAAAATTAATGAGTCACTTTACCCAAAGGACATAACCATAATGCATGTATACATGTCCAATGATGGGGACCCCAAACACATACAACAAACTTAAACAAGATTGAAAAGTGAAATAACAAGTTCTACAATAATCGTAGGAGATTTCCACGCCCCGCTGTTGGTGATGGATAGAAGACCTGGAAAGAAACTCAACAGATATAAAGAGGATCCAAATGCTAGAGTCAACCAACTCACCCTCAGAGAGATATGCACAGAACACTCCAGGCTCAGAGTGATGAATTAGAGGACTGCACCAAACATTCTGAGAGAACTGACACCAACGCTACCCGAACTATTTCAAAGCATGAAAAAGGAAGAAATACACATACTGGGAGATTCCTTGTCTGAAGCTAGCACAATCCTGGTCCCACAGCCAGGGAATGAGCCCACGCACAGAAAGAAGATTACAGACAAATATCCCTCATGAATATAGACTCAAAAATTCTCAACAAAATTCTGTCTATAGACCGGACAAGTACACAGGTATAGAAAGGGATGGGAGCTCACGACACACAGAATCCAGGAGTGGGAATATTGATGCCAGAAGGGTAGGGGGAACGGGGAGAGGAAGGAGAAAGGGGGAGCTGATCACAATGACCGACACATCACCATACACCCCTCTCCAGGGGGAAAAACAACAGAAAACAAGAGGGAAGGGAGACAGCAGTTGTGTGAGATATGAAATTAATAACAATGTGCGATCTATTGGGGGGTTATGAAAGTGGGGGGGACGAAAAGTAAGAGCTGGTACTGAGGGCTCAATAGAAAGTAACTGTCTAGAAGAGAATGAGGGCAACATTACAGGCATGCCTGATTCAACTGATGTGTGGATTGTGATGAGTTGTACAAGCCCCCAATAAAAAGATTTTTAAAAATTCTGTCTAATAGAATTCCACAGCCTATAGAAATTGAACAAGAAAACTTCATAATCAAATGGGACTCGTTATGCATGGATGGCTCAACATTAGAAAATTAATCAACATAAGGGAAAACATCACATAATTACACCATTTGACACAGAAAAGGAATTTGATAAAGTCCCATGTCTATTCCTGCTTAGCAAAACAACAAAACCTTTCAGTGAACTCAGAATAAAAGAGCTATTTCAACACCATTTACCAGAGCTGCCCAAGAGGTAAAGTACTGGCTAGGTTTATTCCTGGCTCAAAAGACTTCACACTGTGAAAATGTCAATACCACCCAAAGCAATCTATAGATATGATACAATCCTGATCAAAATTCCAGCAGGTGTTTTTTTTTAATCGTTTTATTAGGGGCTCATACTACTCTTATCACAATCCATACATACATCAATTGTGTAAAGCACATTCATACATTCATTGCCTTCATCATTCTCAAAACATTTGCTCTCCACTTAAGCCCCTCCTCATTTTTCCCCCTCCCTCCCAGCTTCCCCCCTCCCTCATGAGCCCTTGATAATTTATAAATTGTTTATTTTGTCATATCCTGCCCTGTCCGACATCTCCCTTCACCCACTTTTCTGTTGTCCCCCAGGGAGGAGGTCACATATCGATCCTTGTAATCAGTTCCCTCTTTCCAACCCACTCTCCCTCTACCCTCCCAGTATCGCCACTCACACCACTGGTCCTGAAGGGATCCAACAGGTGTTTTTAATGAGATGTAAAAACTAGCCTGCAATTTCCAGTGGGAAGGAAAGAGGCCCTGGACAAGTACAGCATTACTCATGATGAAAAAGTAGAATGCCTCGTGCTACCTGATCTCAAATCTGTTAGACTAAAACAGCTTGGTACTGGTCTGCCAACAGAGACACAACCCAAAAGAACATAATTGAGAGCCCATTCCTAGACGTGCCCTAGCGAAATGACCGCTGCCACCTGGACCGGCATATGCACATAGCAGCGTTATTCACACTAGCAAAAAGGTGGCAAAAGCCAAGTGCCCATGATGAACGAATGAATGAATAGGCGAGCAATGGCACATACACACAATGGAATACTGCGCAAAGTTAACAGTAACAACGACTCTGGGACACATCTCATGACATGGATGAATCTAGAGGAAATGATGCTGAGAGAAATTAGTCAATCACAAAGGATAAATATTGTACGAGATGATTATTATTAAAAAAAAAAAGATTTGCACAGAGAAAGAAATATATTCTAACGGTTACCAAGGAAAAGAAGGAAAGGGAGGGAAGATCACTAAGTAGATGATTAAAAACTTAAAAAAACTCACTGCATCGCTGACACACAGTGACCTTACAGAGCGGGGAAGAACTGCCACCTTGAGTTTCCAGACTGTGACTCTTTCACAGGGGACAAAAGCCCACCTTTCTCCTGCAGAGCGCCTGGTGGTTTCGAACTGCTTACCTCAGGGGTAGCAGCGCAAATTGTAACCACTACGCCAACAGGCTCAGATACATGTTAACTTCAGTTGAGGGGAGAACTACACAGGAACTCAGGGAATACAGCAAAACACGAGCAAGGCAAAAGAAGAAAGACACTAAAAAGTGTACAGAAAGAAAAAGCAGAGACAGTAAATACGACAACAGTCTTGTAACAACACAAAAACCAATTTGAAGTGACTATCTCGGCATATATGTATGTAAACTGAACTGGTATGGGATGGATAGTGTATGGGAGTACAACTACATGCATATATAGATACATGTCATGGATATTTCTTCTTTTTCCCCCCAAGTCTTTTAAAAATGCCATTGATATTTCTGCATACATACATACCTGTGTAAATACTGCAAA